CACAGACACCCATACCTCTATAATCTATCAGTTTAAAGTCCTAGACAAGTCATTAACCCTTAAACAGTCCAAATGTATATATACGTTCACTCGCGTAGCGCCCCCAATTTTTTGAGAAAAAAAATTGTTTTTTTAATAGCAAAAAAGAGTATATAGTATCCAGGCATCCCCAATTATTTTAATATGGCACACAGTGAGTGCACACACCCATTCTCTCATGTCTAGGTGACTCAGGCTTATCGTGGCAATGTTGAATGAATGACAAAGAAAATGTATATATACGTTTGGGGTGCTACGCGAGAGAATACATCATTTTGGGCCGTTTAGGGTTAATGACCCCTCAATCGAATTGGCTCATGCAACCACTCCAGCCCCAGAGAGATGAACTCCATCCCTTGCATACATATCATGCTTGCCATAGAATTTTTCCAAGTTATCAATGAATGGGCTTGCAAGTTACTTGCAGCACCTGTATAGCCAGCAATTTACACAATTGCCCTAGACATTTATTCGTTGCCCACTCCCTTTCTAGGGGATCCCTCCCTTAGACCTGAGTACATCTATGGCCTGACCTTATACTTATTTTCCAGCAAGCCCTGTCTCCTGCCATTCCCAATGTCATTTCCACCAGCACTAAGACAGATTTAAAGGGCTTGTTTCCATTGCCTGACTAAATTATCCAACAGCACTAAGACTAGATAATGGGCTTGTTCCCCTTGCCTGACATATATTATCCTACCTGCTGAACTATTGGTCACCAGCACCAGCTCCTGGGAAAACACACCCTCTATCTGACCTTTCTGTCTCTGTTACAAAAAGCATGGTCCATTTATCTTACCTAAGAATCTACAATGATCAGAATATTCTTACCTTGATAAGCAGTGGAGACAGTGGTACCTTTAACCTCACTAACCACTTAAATACACTTGTCCTGGAGAAAAGATAATCGATTTCCTACCTTCACATCTTCTCTATTAACCTTCCTTATCATCCTTCTTTCTGAATTGTTAACCACTTGCCACTTAAAGTGGCTGCCACTCTCCAAATCACCGCTGGTAACTTTTCCTCCTCACCAGCTACTATCTCACACTCCCAAACCCATCTAAATGAAGCTTCACCTTCCTATTTTCCTCCTGAAGTAGAATCTCCTTCTTCAACACTTTAACCTGAGATTTTAAAACACTACAACAAGCCATGGTGCTAGGTAACACCCCAATATTATCAAGGATGGCAGTGAACATTGTTTTGGATTTTTCCCAGATATCATTTATGTCTATGCCACTTGTTATCTCTGTCCAGTCACAACTGTGTAGCCTATTTACCAGTGTTTCTTTACTGTAGTTTCTAGTTGACCTCATTTTTATTGTCCTGTGTAGGCATATCCTATCCCTAGTAAGCTAGTCAAGTCATTCAGTCAGTCAGTCAAATTATTAAGTTATTCAGTCAAGTCATTCAGTAAGTCAGTCAAGTCAGTAAGTCAAGTCAGTCAGTCAGTCATTCAGTAAGTCAGTCAAGTCATTCAGTCAAGTCTTTCAGTCAGTCAAGTCATTCAGTTAGTCAAGCCATTCAGTAAGTCAGTCAAGTCATTCAGTAAGTCAAGTCAATAAGTCAAGTCATTCAGTCAGTCAAGTCAATAAGTCATGTCATTCAGTCAGTCAAGTCAGTAAGTCAGTCATTCAGTAAGTCAGTCACACAAACTTATGTTTACCTCTTTTTACATGTACAAAGTAATATTTCATTAAGGCCACAGGTTATGTCTTGTCTAATACACTACAGTGGAACCCCGGGTTTCGAACTTTCTTCGTTCCAAAAGGCTGTTCCAGTGCCGTTACCACACGAATTTATTCTCGTAAGGAATAATGTAAATTAGATTAGTCCGTTTCAGACCCCCAAATATACACTTACAAAAGCACTTACAATAATACACTTACATAATTGGTCGAGTTGGGAGCAATTCAAAACTCAGGGTTCCACCGTATCTTGTTTTCTTTGTTAATTCTAAGACTTAAATGCTTATGCCTTTTCTTACCACTTTGAGCAACACTGGTATGCCTACTGGGTGTCATGATTGCTTGGCAGATACAAGATATAGCAATTAAAACATCAAAACAATTCACAAACACAGCTAGCTTGTAGCAGAGAGGAAGGACTGGACATGTATGAAGTACAAACACTGAGATGGTGGTGTGGTGCTGGAGGCTGGCAAGGGATGGTGGGAGGTCTTCCCCGCTGATCCACAACAAGGCGGCTGTTTGAGGAAAAGGGAGTTTTTTTTCCTTCCACAAACTGAACTGTGTTAAATTGATTTTGAGAAGTGTTACGTAAAATTGTGCCGCAATTCTTCAATCATGCTATACCCGATTCATGCCAAATAAACTTGTGCTAAATGATGGTCTACTGTATAACAATAATAGTGTAATAATATAATAATAATAATAATAATATGTATAATAATAATACATATATAATAATAATGAACTATATAAGAATAATTATAATAATAGAAGGCTTCAAAAGTCTGTCATTAGATGGCAGTGATTACCACAACAATGCTGGAGCAGTTGTTGCCGCCTCCACTTGTCACATCACATATTCTATTCATTCTAGAGTATATATCAAGTTTCCATGTTATTAATATTGTTTGTTGTGTCAAATCATATGAATTGTGATAGATAAATAAGTTGTATAGATGATATTAGTGAAATATTGACATATCTTGTCGTACCTCCTGAGACCCGGAAGGGATTAATTGCATTTCAGTTAGGTTAAATGAGGAAAACTGATTGCAAATGAGCAAATCCAGATGTGGGCAAGGTCATGGAACCCATTAAACTCGTAAGTAGAGATTCCACTGTATTTACACTTGCTGTTCCTTGGAGATGCTGGCATTGGTTTAGGGTGGTGTAAGATAGGCAGGGCGGCATATGTTTGTCAGTGGCCCTATATACCCCCAATAACATTGGTGGAGTCAGTTCCATGTCATTTTTTCCATCACTTAATGGCTTAACTTACTTGCTACACAGTTAATGCTATACTTTATCGATGGCTGGCAATATAGCCTTTATCGACTCCTGCTGTTTTAGTATCATACATATTGTAGAATCACTGAAGAAGGCATATTCTCCCCTCACTCTTCCTCCTCCACTTTCGTAATTTGCTACAAGTTTTTCTTGAATTCTATCATGTCTCTCACCTTCTTTGTCAATGGGCTGGCACTAGCAGCTTTCTTTGGGCCTATGGTGGCTTATTTAGCAGTCACACAGATTAAACAGGTGCAAAAAATAATGAATTACTTAGAAATGTTTCCTATGATACTGCCTCAGAATGTGTGTGGGAGGCTTTGTGTGCTCGCGGCACTTGGACAGGTACCGTAACACCGACGAGAATGGAGGAAAACAACGGAAATGGAGCCAATATTTTTACTGTACCACAGACGAGAATGGAGGAAAGCAAAAATGATGCCAATAATTTTACACGAAAAATCGGCGATGATGGAAATGAGCGAAAACAGAGCCCAACAAAAAGGGAGGGTCCATTGTAATCTGAAACCAAGACAACAGTGCATAAGTGTTCACAATAAAGCTAACAGAATCCTTTGCTTCATATCAAGAAGTACAGGTCTCTCTCAACATTCATGTTTTCCACTTTTGCCGGCTTCGAACATTCGCGAATTCACAGCTGTTAAATTCCCAACTGCCAAATCATATTTACATTGGTTTTCAAAGTTAAAACCTTAGGAAGTTTCAAATTTAGGTTGGGTATATACATGTGTGAGAGGAGTTGGATTTGAGTGGGACTTGCACATGAGTGAATAGAATTATCAAAGCTTATTTCACAGGAAGCATTGAAAATTGGGTTGGGCAAATATTTTGTTAATGGGATGGATTGTGAAGGATCTGCCTAGTATGGGACAAGAGGCCTGCTGCACTGTTCCTCCTTTCTTACATAAGAATATAAGAATGGAGGAACACTGCAGAAGGCCTACTGGCCCATACAAGCAAGTCTTTATCAAAACCACCTGTTTCCAAAACTACCGAAGAATTAACTCCCATACCCATGACACCAATCAAACCCAGCCCCTCATACTCATATATTTGTCTATTCTCATTTTAAAGCAACCCAAGGTCCTAGCCTCAATTACCCTACTCGGAAGACCATTCCTCGCATCTACCACTCTGTTCGAAAACCTTTCCAAATCTAAATTTATCCAACTTAAATCCATTATTTCTGTTTTTTCATGGTTCGACACCCTCAGTACTTTATTAATATCACCTGTGCTTAAGCCCATCTTCCACTTATACACTTCGAAGATATCTTCCCTCACTCTACGTCTCTCCACAGAGTGGAGATTCAAGGCTTCATATGGGAGATTCCTCACAGAGTAAATCATTTTAGTCATTCTTCTCTGTATGTTCTCCAGTGAGTCTATATCCACCCTCTAGTAAGGAGACGAAAACTGAGTGGCATAATCCAAATGAGGCCTCACTAGTGATGTTGAGCTGTAAATGGTGGTGACCTGTACTTAACTCAGTGGTAACTTATACTTAAGTCTATGAAGATGTGTCTTGTGTGCTCTCTGTGAATCTGAACAAGATGTCCTCTCTTGAGCAATGCTACCAGCAGCTAAAGGAGGGTGGCTAAGCTTGAGATACAGAGACTGACTGAGGAAAACAAGAAGATTTACAATAATCCTCCTGTTGTGAATCCTCAAGCCAAGAAAGTAACCTGGGAAGTGGCTGGAAAGCATGGGACAAAGTTAAGAATCATGAGGATTGATGGAGAGGTAGAATCAACGAAGATCCAGGAAACTGTTGTGGAAACATCAAACCCATTCTCTGTGCTACCCGATGAATGTGAGTCGACTACTGGCAATATCATGATGAACAACGCCAAGGAAGGTAGAAAACGTTGTTGAGGATAGTCAGGTTAGGTACATGGATAAGGCCTTCTGCTTGAAGGATAGGAGTAGGAGACAGAGGGTTTACTTTCCTAGGGCTGGGATGGAGGATATTGTTAACCAGCTTGACAACAACATGGACAGTAATAGGATCGATCCCATTTTCTGCCCCGGTGCTGGAGGCAATTATGTAGGTAAGCGTAGAAGTGAGGATTTAGTTAGAAGGTACAGGAGAGCAAAAGTCATAATTAGGAAGAAGGGGGGGGGGCACCCTGTTATATGTGGCATATTGCCAAGAAGGGGTGTTGCAAATGAATGGTTGTCCAGAGCAATTGGTATTAATTGTTGGCTAGACAAGCACTGTACGGATAATGCAGTACCATTCATTAACAACTGGGACCACTTCTATGGCCAAAATGACACATATGCCATAGATAGGGTTCACTTATCCAGGGCAGGTGTGGGTTTTCTTGCTAACTCAGTTGAGGGTGTTGTTAGAACATTAAACTATGATTAGCTAGAGGTATGGGTTTAGAAATGGAGAATAATGAGTATGGATATATTGACTTAGGCTTTGATATTATGAATTTTAATAATAACAGTCATGGAGTAACACAGGGTAAAGATAATTAGAGAAATTGTGTAAAAGCAAAGGTGAATAGTAAAAAGGTGGAGAAGAAAAATATATAACTATTTTATACTAACAGTCGAAGTGCAAGAAATAAGTTTAATGAATTATGTTTCATAGTGTGTACTGGGAACTTTAACGTCATTGCAATAACTGAAACATGGTATGATTTAAAGTCAGGACATGATCGCTTAGTGTAATATTCAAGGGTTTAAGTTGTTCCATATGGATAGATGTAATGGGAAAGGGGAGGAGTTGCATTATATATACAAGAAAATGTTGTGCAAGAATGGTATATCATACCGACAAGATGAATTTAAGA